TATTTCATTGTTAAAAATATTGAGATAATTTTTTCTAGGTATACAACTTAACTTTTCACAATATATTTCTTGGAAAATACATCCCTGGTAAAAGACTTACATTTCATAAATAATGTTCCTGGCATCTACATTTCCAAGCAATTTCTGAATTGGTTTCCTCTGCTATCACTAACTGACAACCTTTGATTTATGGATTGGGAATAATTGAATTTCTTGGCTGTCATATACTTTGAGTAAGAAATATTATATGTGTTTCCAGAAAAATGATTTAAGGAAGAGAAGAGTGAAGTAATGTCAAGTTTTGAAGCTTTATTTGGAAACTGTGTTCTAACCAAATGGTACTTAAGTTGCTCTAAGTTTCTGAAATGTGTTTTAAATAACCTTTGAAGAGATGTTGAAGTGGTTTGAGACAGATGGGTTCTAAGCTTGCTACTTTTGAGCTAAATCAATAAACAAAAAAGAGAGTGCAGCTTATTGTTGTCCTCACCTTCCCAAGCTCAAGAAATGTAGTTTTCCTTGACGCATGGTAATAGGCTGAATACATTTCTTCAAAAATTGGAGTTACACAACGTTTCATTTTGCTTGTCAAACAGAAAATATTTAGTGATTTAGTGAAATTGTTCCAGGACCAGATTTTTTTTGAAAACCATGAAATCGCTAAAGCAACTTCTCAGTTTTATTGTGGGTTTGGCTTACTCTGTTTTACTTTTTGCTAGTTTTGCTCAGGCCATGGATTGAATTGGTCCATCAACTTCAAATTCTGTGCCATTTTATTATGATGATAATTGGTCGACTGTGGCAGAACCTGTGTAAGTATTAGAGCTTCTGAAGCACCTCCTCTCCATGTGCTCTTTGTTAAGTCTCTTAAAAATTTGTATTTATTGATTTGAGAAAGAGAGAGAGACATCAAGATGTTGATTTGATGTTCCACTTATTGATTCATTCATTGGTTGATTCTTGTACATGCCCTGACTGGGGGTGTATCAGGCCAATGTCCTAACCCACAGAGCTATCCAGCCAGGCCCCTTCTTGTGCTTTTGACTAGCACTGACCGATAGGACTTTCTGAGATGTTGGAAATATGCTTTAGCTGTTGTCCATATGTGGCTATTCAGCCCTAGGGATGTGGCCAGTTCAACTGAGAAACTACATCTTTGCTTTTGTGTCGATTAATTTATATTTAAATGTAGACAATCCCATGAGACAAGATAGTGGCTACTGCATCAGAATATGTAGGCTGACTTTAGAACATTGAGGCTGTGGCCCGGAGCAGGTCAAGTCTGCCTTAGCACTGGCTGCTCTGGCTTCTGGTCAGAGGCTTTCCTCAGCGGTTCTACATTTAGGAGGCAATAATTTTCTAGCAAAGAGATAGGTGAAAATTTGTTAGGACATTTTTGGTTGTTCTGACTGGGGTGTCCTCCTGGCATTAGTGGGTGGGGCCACAGGTGCTCAGTGACCCGAAATGCATAGGACAGTCTGCACAATGAATTACCCGTCCACCTCAAATGCCAGCAGCAGCCAATTTGAAAAATGAAAATAGATTAGCAGAGTTCTCTAAGTTCCTCAGCTTAGAGATGGGGTTACATCACCATAAACCCATCATAAGTTGAAGATATGATGTCCAAAATGCATTTAAAACACCTAACTACCCAATATCAGGACTCTCAGCCTGCCTACCTTAAACGTGCTCAGAATACTTAGCATTATCAGGACATAATCCCACCATCAGTGAAGGAGTAGCTGTGATTTCCTCACGCCTCTTCTGCTCTTCATCAGAAGCAGGAGACATTTATGGGCATTTTGTAAACATGATGGAAGGAGAAAACAACAACGTGATATCCAAAAGACGCTGGCAGTGAAGCACGCTGCAGAGCGTCGGTCGTTTGCCCTCATAATTGCGTGGCTGACTGAGAGGTTAGGGTCACTGCTGCCCAGCACCAGGAGAGAAGATCACACTAGCTATCATAGCCCAGGAGATGCATGAAATGCAGACTTCAAAGTACAGTGTCTATTAAATGCATATAACTTTTGCACCATCAGAAAGTTGAAAAACCCCAATACAGGGGCCATCTGTATTGCAGTTTCATTTGTGAGATCTGTGATCTCAGTCCTATCCATAGTCAATTCTGTCTCTTGTGATCTGATCTTATTTCCTCCTGCCTCCTCAGGGACCTAACTTTCCAAGTGCGCTCATTTTGTCCTATATCGACAGCCATTCTCTCTCTGTTTGAGCACACTCTAATCTATCCTTTGTTAAATGGCCCCTTTTCTTTTTTTTTAAGTTTTTATTTTATTTTTAGAGGGAGAAAGAGAGGGAGAAAAACATTAATGTGTGATTGCCTCTCGTGTACCCCCTACTGGGGACCTTGCCCACAACCCAGGCATGTGGAAATTGAACCAGTGACTCTTTGGTTCGCAGGCCCACACTCGATCCACTGACCCACAGCAGCCTGGGCCAAATAGTACGTTTTCTTAATCCCATACTCTGGCTGGGACCATCTCTGCCTCTCGTTCCCTATAACAGAACAGGGATTTGTTCTGTTCTGTTCTCAGAACAGGACTTTTATTCACCAAGCTATTGATGGAAATTATTTGTTGTATCATGATGAAAAGAAAGCCCACACCATACGTAATTTTGAAACACACTAGTTTATTACACAGACATATCAACAGAGTCCTCATATCATGTTCCACTTTCAAACAGTTGTATACATTTGTGTGTAGGTGCATATATACACACACATATATGTGTAAAAGTTCCAGGAGGAGTCCATTTTCATTCTTTTACGCTACAATGACTGCCCCTTTTGTAGCTAGTCTCCGCAGCACACTGCCGTACCAATTTCATGTATTTTTTTCTATTTAGTGTCACATTAGTTTTTCCCAAGGGTAGGCTTCTACTAAAACTGTAATATAGTCACTTAAAAATATTCTAGTTCATAGTTCAATGTTTGTGAAAATTAAATTTTCAAGTACTGTAATAATGTCTTCCTAATTTCCCTACCCATCTCAAAAAGAATGACTATACACCCCAAATATATCACTCTAAGTAACTGAATCCTGAAAATATTGGGTAAAAATAACTTACATTTAAAGATATAGCTATACTTGGTTATATATACTGTAGACTATTTAGGAAATTGTGATGATTGTATTTCTTCTTAGCTCTATGTCAAAGTAGTGATATGCCTACTTTTGTCCTTTAAGTATGATTTCATAAGTTATTTCAAAGGCATTCAAACATCTTACTGATGTATTATAACTCTGTGTTGTGCAAACATGTGAACAAGGAAATGCCACCTAAAATTAGAGTCAGTGACTGTTCTTTCCATACAAAACTACAACTTTAGATAAACTCAGTAAGACCACACACACAAAAATCGGCATTGTACAGTTTAGATTTTCAGAAACAAAGATCATGCCTGTTTGTGGCATCGAATGAACAGTGCTGATGTTGATTCACTATCTGAGGTTGCACTTATGGCAACTCTGGTAATCTACTGGGGAATGAAATTATCCAAATGAGTTGAGGGACTTCAAAAACTACATCACACAACCATAGTCCAGCTATTTCTTTTGACTATATACAGCCAGCAATTTTTTATGAGCTCATTTAAAAATGGTTAAGTGATTATAATGTTGCTCTAAAACTAAAAGACCTTCAGATTTCCACTAACTGGAATTATCATTTTCTTAGCACAATTAAAACCTGTATTTTGCATCTACTGTATTTTTTGGAGTATAAGACACACTGTTCCACACCCAAATTTGGGAGGAATAATGGTTGTTAATGCTGCTGTTGAGTTCTGTTTGCATTGGTGAAATGTTTTTTATGTTATTAAATATTTTACCACGTTTTTTTGTTTCAGAATTTTTCCCCCTATTTTCCTCCTCTAAAACCTAAGTGCATCTTATGATCTGAAAAATATGGTAAATTATAACATGTTCTCATACTAGATATTAAAAGTGTTGACTTACTTATGGTTCAGTAAGTAACACACAAATATGAGTTGAAAATTAATTAGCTTTGGGGAAAACTAAAAATATGCAATACAGTGAGAGTTACATATTTTAAAATATCAGAGTGTTTTATGTGCTGCCAGAGGTTATGTTCTTATGAATATTTTCAAAGACCATACTACTTTCTTGCCTACACATTTTGTATAGGTTACTATCTTAACATTCCATCATGAAAGAATTGAATCTTGCTATGCAAATGTAATCCTATCTTTTTATTTCCTTCTATAGAGAGCTCTTTCAGGTTCTTTGGACATATGCATTCTTAGAAATGGTTTGTCTATATTGGTCCATGTGAACTGTAAAGCAAACAAAAGACTAAATTCAATTATTGCAAAGCTCATGGTAACTTTATCACTTGGGAATACTTCTCCTTCCTTGCATATAATTTAATTGGGCTATAAGTGGATAAAATGTATATATCATGAATAATCATTTGCCTATATTTATGAATGTGGAAGAATATAATTTAAAGTTATGTTTATAAATCAATATTAATATTGTTATTACATATACACCATAATAATAGTAAAATAGCCAAATAAATTAAGTAATTTATCTTTATACTACACTGTTCAGATCAATTGACTCTATAAATCCCAGCGACAATAATATGTACACATAGCAGACATATTAAAAAGAATAAAAATGAACAAATTTAGTAGAAATTCAAATATGTGATTATTGTGGGCATAGAAAACCCCTGAAAAACTGCCTTCCCACCTCTGTGGGAACAGAATCTTGATGATACCTGCCCAGGATCACAATGTCTTTTCTACTACCTACTCACATTCACGAATACTATACATATGTGCTGTATATATTGTCAATATTTACAGTATATACATGCACATACACATGCATACTTTTTTACTCTTAGGCTCATTCATGAAGTTGCAGATCAGTATAATTAATACTTGTTTATTTACCTTAAGTGATATTCATTCACAACTTTTTCACTCTTGTGCAAAAATATCATACAGATTAGTATTCTTTCTCTAAAAATCTTTTTATGCTTTAAGTTTTTTGTCTTTTACAAATAAATTAGGAAATATAGTTTATTCAAATTGAAAATCATTGCAATGTTTTTACAAGGCATTGCTGAGGTTTTGAATTGTGGTATTCTTGAAACCAACATCTTTCAAAACACAAACTCAGTAAGTTATTGTTATTTCTTGATAGTTGCAATTTGAATTACTTACATGAAATACATCATGACAGATCTAACCCTCATGCTAGTCAAAAAGTGTTTGTACAGAATATGAACCCTTCTGTTTTATCTATTTCTTATTTTTTTTTTCTTGAAATGTCTTTTTAAGAGCCATCTGGAAAATGTTGAGATTTCTGTACTAGAACATTTCTGGAAAGTTTTTCACCCAGTAAAAAAAGCTGAGGACATAAGTGAGGCAAAATTGAGGAAGAATAATTTTAGTGGATGCTCAGGAGAGGTAACAGCAAATGCAACAAATGTTTTAGTTTTATCTCCCAGTCCTTTGGTGTTTCCTTGCCTCATGAAAGTCCTAAAAAATGTCCAGTTCTTTAAAACATCGGCTATACTCTTCCATTAAACATCAGTTGTGGTCCTCCATTGCTCATGCTGTCTGTCATTTCCTGTTAGGAAAATAACATGAATTAATTAAAGTCTCTATCAGAGTAAAGACATTTGATTTGGTTGATGGGTTTGCAAAACAGAAATTTGAAGCCACTGAAGAACTTGCTGGGTTTGGGAGAAGGACAAGGATTGGTATTGGTCTTGCATTCGAGGCAATGAAATTTCATGGCATCTCGGGGCGCATGAAAAAGCTGAAGCGACACAGTCTATGGGACCAAATCTTCTGCCCACACAAGCAGTGCAGTCTCTCTCCAGTTCTGAGTTTCCCCTTTCATTCCTCACCTCTGTTTTGGAAAGACCTCACCTAGAAACAAGATGGTTATATGCTCAAGGGTCTCTAATGTAGAGATTCCTCCGCTGAGCATGTCAACAGAGAGCCAACTAGGCATTGCCTTCATTCTATAGAAAAGTATGTGGCCTTTTTGCTAAGAACTGAAAAAGGCCCACTAGGGGATGACTGCTTATTTGTGACTATGGCTCACTAATAAACCACAGTGAAAAGATTATTTTTATAATACTGTCACTCATACAGTAAAAACAAAACAAAACATATTTTTAAGGGATCAAGTACTAAGTTAATGAGAAAACTACATGGGATAGCAATTAGAAATTAAATATAAAGGATGACCTAACATAAAAAGTTCCATTTGCAAAGGTAGAAAATATATTAACTTAGGAAAAATTTAGAAGCTAATAAATTCTTAGGAAGAATTTATTAAACATTAAACTCTTCCCTACACAATAAAATGTAGTGAGGAGATGTGAGGTCTGTTCACATTGATAATGGTTAATGTACCATATTATAAATAATATTTAGGCAAAACTATCTAAAAATAGATAACAACATCTTTCCTCACTTGAACAAGCCTACTTGCAACAGAGCAGTAAAGAACAATTCAAATGAAAATTATTTTCTCAGTGATCTCATGCCTATCAGTTTATACCTACTTTCTGTTTGGATGAATTAATAATTACAAAGTAAAGTGTTTATGCTTTAGAAATTCTTTCAGATATTTATTTGAAAGTAAAAAGTTATCCATACTTTATTTATAGTCTTTTTTCTTTGAAAAGTCAATACACAAGTTAAAATAGAGTGAAAATGCTTGCTTTTTCATATTGGGGGTGGTTCAGAAAGTTCCTGAGGAAGAGCAAAGAGGTACCTGAAGACCGGAATTGGCCTGGTGGTAGAACATGACTTTTGAAAACTTTGCTGTCTTTTAGAAAATGGGGTAGAATTCCTTCCAAGAAAATTCTGGGAAAGAAGACCATGGGCAAGACGTTTCCTCTCACATCAAGACCAGTCTTTCTAAGCAAAGTGCCCTGGCCTCTTCCAGGCTGTAGGGGGTTGGTCATCTTGTCCCTGGGCATCCATTGTATCTCCCCTAGTAAGATGCAAGGAAATTACCAGACTGAAAAAGCCTAAAAATTCAAGCCCCTTCAGAATTAAGGCAGGAAGTAGAGAACATCTGACTTTCTGACAGGAAGCAGAGTATGTCCTTTAGAGCCTGCAGCCGGCCTCTATGGTCTGGTGATGGTTCAGCTAATTGAGGGGCTGGCCCTGCTAGAGATATGTGAGGTACAAGTGCATCTGAAAATACACTGAGGTTGTTGGGCTGTTGTCAAGTTAATGAATAAGAAAACAGATTTAAGGTTCCATTCAAGAACTCAGTGTTGGTGGCAAGATACGTAGAAATAATTCTTCCAAAACAAAATGATCTTTAACAAAATTTACTCATACATCTTTTTCTATTTCTCTTACTAGAACAGAAACACAATTTCCTAATGAATGTATAAGAATTAACTTTTCTAGTTTCCTTTTCTTCTCCTAAAATGACATTGCATTAATAGTGTAGCTTAAAACTATTAAAAACTAATCTAATGTATAATCTTTTATTGCAGGATTAAAATATCCAGTTTCTTAAATCTTAACAAAAAAAAACCCAAGAATTTTCTCAACTAAATTCACCCTAATATAGATTCAATAAAATCACTGATGGAAAATAACAATGAATACCAGTTTTTTAAAGGTATTATTTATTTTTAGAGAGGGGAAGGGAGGAAGAAAGAGGAGAGTAACATCAATGTGTTGTTGCCTCTCACAGCCCACTACTGGGGACCTGGCCTGAAACCCAGGCATGTGCCCTGACTGGGAATCAAACCTGTGATCCTTTGGTTCACAGGCCAGTGCTCAATCCACTGAGCCACACCAGCCAGGGCTGAAACCAGTTTTTAAATAGCTGAGTATCATACAGTTTATTTGCAAGTAGTCATGTCCTATTTAACAAGATTATACTCTAAATGTGAGCCTGACCAAATGAGAGTATTTGCAAATGGACATTTTTTTGCAATTGGGCCACAGTGTCTATGTGACTCTCTGTATTTGCAATTACATTATTTAACCAAACCAAGAATGACAACTATTTTCAGTGATCCGCATTATGGGAGATAAATTTAAAATGCCTCAATCAGATAATTTTACAAGAAGAAAGTTTCCATACAGTATTTTTACTGCATTAGTGTCAGACTTATTTGTTCATGCAGTTTTGGCATGAGGGAGACACAGTTTGTTTTTATCAAATACATCTATTATTATAAACAAAACTCTGGCCTGAGAATGATGATTCTGAATCGTAATCAATGATGTAGCAGAGAATAAAGGCGTCGTGAATCATCCAAGCAGAAGTGTGTTTGGATGCCTATGGGCAGGCTGAATATTTTAAATACTCAACCAAATTTCAAGCTTCAGATCTGCCATGTAAGTGCATGTCTGGTCCTCAAAGTAGCTCTCATAAAAGTGACACTTTGAGGAGCCACATCCAGCATCAGTCCAGACTGATCTGCTGACCCCATGGCTTCCTACAGGAGGCAGCACTTCCTGCAGTGACATCACAACACGGTAACTCCCTGGAAATCAGCGTACCTTGTAGGTAACTCTGGTGTCGGGGGCACCACCGGGCAGCTGGGCAAGTCGGTTATTTCAATAGCCCTCAATCTCTAATGTAAATATAACAATCATACAATAAATATTGCACACATATACACAAAAATAAATCACACTAGTATTAAAAAGAGCATGAAATAGCCACTCTCCAAATAGATAATGATCATCTATTTTGAACAGCCCATTTCTTTACATGACCAGTCTTAGTATTTCTACTATTAACTCTTTTTTGAAGGACACACATGGATCTAAAATTGCTTTCTAAAAACAATTTAAGGGCCTTTACTCTCCTCATTTGAATGCATAGATTGTATACAAAATAGAAACATAAAACTACAGAAGAAATCCTTTTTCTTCAAAGTAACATTATATAGAAATATACAACAGTAAGTCTTGCTCTTCTTTCTTCAATTCTGTAGTTATGCAGGTGTATTTCCACAATATCAAGTAAAATATGATGTAATTGTTATCTTACTGAATTTATGCCACAGATGCTTTATCTTTTCCTTAATAGATCCAGTGGCAGGAACTAAATTTAAAAATATGTGCAAATATTGTAGAAACACAGACAGCTCACTATATCATTTGTTCTTTTCTGCAGTAAATGTAACTTCCTGTCTGAATGGGTTTCATGAAACAATTATGCAAAAAACATTGTCTAAAATACCACAAAGCTACCCAAATATGCATGAACTGTAGATGAAAATTAAATGAAGCTTTATGTGAATTATAATTTCTGCACTGATAGGCCAGGCTTTTTGTTGCCTTACTAAAAGGCCCTTTTATGCTTGAAAAGCTAATTTACATAATCAAATGCATCTACTTACAAGCATGAGGGGTGGGCTAAAAAAGGCAAATTCATCCAATTTCTGAAACTGGCATCATTGAGTGGAGAATGTATTTAGTGTTTTTCCTCAGTATAATACATAAAAATCCATATTTATAAGGCATTTGATATTTTATGAAATCCTACTTTAGATGCTGTGTTCTTGTATAGAGAGCCTACAAAATTGTGCTGAAAATAGGTGTGTCCAGAATTGCAGAGAGAAGAAAAAATTCTCATCCTTGGTCCAATAGGACCGAAATTTCATAAAATGTAATTTCTCACATTCCCATCTAAAGCTCCAAATTGACTCATCTAGACTTGACTGCGGTCTTCATCCCATGCCCGCAGTGAGAGGACAAGGTCCAAGACTCACTTTCTCGGCCATCTCATGAGAGTGGTGCAGCGAATGCTCCCTTTCTGAGAACATCCTCCTCTGTTCATAGCTGGCTAGGCGACACGTGAGCCATGAAGAGAGGGTGCAGCCACCAATCCCAATGCAGGCAAGAGACATGGAGGCGAGATGCAGAGGATAGAGGGAAGAGGTCTTCTTTGTCACTGCTCGGAGGAACTGAACATTCAGGATGCCCCCGATGAGTCCACAGATGCAGCAGGCGGAAAAGAGGATCATCTGGTAAGGATAAAAAAAAGGGTGTTACTGTTGAGAAAGCAAAGCTGACTCAGTACAGCACAATCTCCCCTCCACCCTCCCCAACTCTTTCTTTCATTCAAGTTCCAAGCAATTGTTACTACACAGCCATAAAGAGTCTTGGTAGAAAAGGTATAGAAAGAATGAAGGCCATGTCTAAAGAGTGATGGGACCATTGTAGAGGCTAATTATAATCTTTCAAGAAAAAAATTTAGCTGAAGGTTTCTCTTTATGTAATTTTTAAACATTACATCTCACACATCTAAAGTGATGGGGTCTTCATCCTTTTCCTCCCCATAGATACTCTCGCACAGAACAAGGAGTGACACAAACAAGCTGCACTACCCTTCCTTCCTCGCCCTTTTCAGACAACAGGTCTCCCCCTGGAAACTCTTTAAGGCTCCAAGATCATTCACTTTCTAGGGTCCCTGTGTGATATTCATTTGGCCAATATTTAAAGGTCTATGATCTTTCCTATGGCATTCAGTAAAATAAACCACATTTTTCCTTCTTTCCAAACTCTCATAAAATGACGTGGAAGGCAGTGGGGAATCCACACTCAAGCACGCAGAAGTTGTCCTGCAGCCAGTATCAGAGTTGACAGGGAGCAATGTTCCGCCCCCCAAAACCCATGATAGTGCCATAAAACATCTGAAAACACTTATGTTTACAATCACAGCAATAAAATAAAATTCAATAAAAAATCTTTGGGAATTAACTGTAGCTATAACAACACAGCTGTTTTGCTGCTGTGTAAAATTAACTTCACAGTCAAGCAAAGCCAGTAATCTTTATGCCTGATTCCATGTTTAAACAGTTAAATTTCCCATGAACTCAAGTTATATCTTTTTCAGCTTATTGAAGGATTCATGTGTATGTTTGGGAATCTATGAATTGGAAAAGTGGAGACTGTCACCCACAGAAGTCATTAAGGGTTGCGTATTCATGTACTAAAGAGTGTCAAAGCACTTCTTTCTTTCTTTCTCTCTTTCTTTCTTTCTTTCTTTCTTTCTTTCTTTCTTTCTTTCTTTCTTCCTTCCTTCCTTCCTTCCTTCCTTCCTTCCTTCCTTCCTTCCTTCCTTTCTTTCTTTCTCTCTTTCTTTCTTCATAATCTCTAATAATCTTCATGGTTTCCTTTGAAAATAAAAAAGCCAGGGTTTATTTATCAGTCTTCTTTTTAGCCTAAATGAGTAACATTCAACATATAATTATTGGCCAGTCACCAATTCCATTTTTGAGCTCTGATATTTCAAATACTTCAATGTGTGATAGATACAAACAGGTCAGAAACTTACGACAAGTCCAGATTTTTTTTTGGCGCACAATATCCCACATATGCCACAAAGAAGAAACTGAAAAGGAAAAGAACAACAATTACTTCACATCCAAAGATAAGAGGACGCCAGTTTTTAGCTTGTAGTTCACTCATGGCATTTGCTCCAGGGAAGCTGGGAAAGTTTACGTTCCCATCCAAAGCTGAAAAGGAAAATAATCCATTCCAAAATAGGAAGGGGGAAAATGCAAATGCTAATAAAGTTTGTTATTTGCAAGGTTAATGTACATAACTGTGGGATATTTAAAAAAAATTGAATCAGTTTTACCACCAGGCAAAATTATGAAGTTAATGAACTTAGAGTTCTGTTCCTCCAATATCCATTCACTGTCTGCTTGTCCCTTCCTATTTGCTTAGGGAAAACAGTGGTGTGATACAATCATTTATACTATGCAATTAGAAACCAATGGGCTAGACTGAAGATAGGGAATTTAGAACAAATGAAAAGGTAAGGCATCAGAAATGGAGATGTTTTTCTATAGAGACATTCTTTACACCTTTTAAACGATGTCAGGTAAAATGGCTACCCCTCATTCTACCAGAAATACTGTCCTTGTGGATATGTTGGAAGAATACAAGGGGATGAAGCTACAAGAATCTCCCCATCCACTGGGGACATGTTCTGAGACGCCCCAGAAAATGTCTGAAACCACAGATAGTATTAAACTTTATATATACACTGTATATTTTTCTATACATACATATCTATGACAAAGATTTATTTATAAATTAGGCACAGTAATTTACAAATAATGATAAAAGAACAATTATAACAATGCACTGTAAGAAAAACTAAGGGAATACAGTCTCTCTCTCAAAATATTTTATTGTACTGTACTTACCTTTTCATTTAAAGCAGTGATTTTCAACTAGTGTGCTGCAGGAATTTTTCAAGCATGCAAAACCTTACAATGTAGCAGGGGCACTGACCTCTTTTCCCTTAGATTGTCAAATTTAAAAATGACAACATTCAACACAATAGCCAACTGGTGTGAATGAATCAAAATTTACCATTTTCTGATAGACTGGCAAAAACATCTTTTTGGGTGTGCCAGAGAATTTCCATAATTAGTTGATGTGCGTCATGAGACGAAAATGACTGAAATCGATGACTTAAAGGAAGGGCTTTATGACTCCTTTCTAGCATATCCAAATTGTCAGCATCACTACTCTTGAACTTTGGGGCCTTTGCTCAGTAAGATAAGGGTGAGTTGACACGAGCATTGTGATAGTATAATAGCTAATCTGATTTTATCACACTACTCAGAAGGGTGTGCAGTTTAAAACTTATACATATTTTATTTCTGGAATTTTCCATTTACTATTTTGAGACCATGGTTTTCCACAGGTAACTGAAACAGCAAAAAGCAAAATCCTGAACAAGGGGGAACACTGTATTGATGGCAACTACTTCCTTGTAAGTGAGCACATGGCTGACCTAATTGTTTGTAAAAATTAGCTGCATCAAATCATCTTTCAGTGATACACAACTAAGACATTTTGGCTGTCAAAAAAGTAAGTGGTTTAATTTGGACAGAAACATTTAAGGCCATTTGAATGTACATTTATACATACTTCTAGATGAGAGGAAACCATATAAATAAAATAATCATTCATTAATAAATAGTAAGCTTACTAAGGGCCTTCAGATTAGCAAAGATAAGCTTGAATGAGGTTAAACTCATTTCCATTTGATTTTCTACTTTTTAAATTTGCTACCTCAAGTCAGAGGTAGCAAATTACCTCTGTCAACATTACATGTTGATAGATTTTTAAAACTACAAATCAAAAGACTGGAAAGATAATCTAAAATAAATTGTATGCTGTTAGAAGCAGCAATAACACTGGATAGAAAATATTGGGTAAGGGAATTTTCCCTCTGCAAGGGAGTTTTCTGTACAAGGAAACTCAGTGATTACAAAGGAAGTAATGATGCAGCAGGGCAGCTCAGGAGACACAGGGATAGATAAGAATTTGGTATATAATAGAAATAATCTTTCAAATAGTGGGGAAAAGATCAGGGTGATTTATTCAATAAACAGAATTAGTTAATCTACTCCAACGTCATATAGCAAAATGTCTAAGAAACAGTTTGAATATTTAAATATATTAAAATATAGGACTTCTGGCCAACATGGAGGCATAGGCAGATGCACTTTGCCTCCTCGCATAACCAAAAGAAGGACGACAACAAATTTAAATAAAAAAAAAACTAGAACTGGCAGAAACTCCAGTATGGAGAGGACTCCTGGAAGGTGGTGGCTAGAGGACTGGGACATACAAGGCGGCAGCTTGTGGACCATTTGAGGTGGTGGCTGGTGGACTGCGCGGTGTCATACTTATTTGCAGATAAACTGGGAGGAACAACTGGGGAGTGAGACAGACCGTGCAACCCAGGGTTCCAGTGCTGGGAAATAAAGCCTCAAACCTCTGACTAAAAACTCCTGTGGGGGTTGAGGCAGTGGGAAAACTCCCAGCCTCACAGGAGAGTTTGTTAGAGAGACCCACAGGGTCCTAGAACATACACAAACCCACCCACCCAGGAATCAGCACCAGAAGGGCCTCATTTGCTTGGGGTTAGTGGATGAAGTGACTGAAAGCCGGCTAGAGCCCAGCAAGCCACACTGTTTCCTCTCAGACCCCTCCCCCACATACAGCGCCACAGCAGAGTGATGTGCTTGCTCCCTGGTGAACACCTGAGGCCCCACCTCTTAGTACATAAAGGGTACTCTGAGACAAAAAATATATAGCTCAAATGAAAGAACAGATCAAAGCTCCAACTAAGTGATGAAGAGATAGCCAACCTACCAGGTGCACGGTTCAAAACACTGGTAATCAGGATGTTCACAGAAATGGTTAAGTATGGTCACAAAATAGAGGAAAAAGTAAAGGCTAAGAAAAGTAAAATAAAGGGAAGTCTACAGGGACTTAATAGTGAAGGCAAAAAAAAAACCCCACAAAAAAACAGGACTCATATCAATGGTTTTGAGCAAAAGGAAGAAATAAACATTTAACCAGAATAGAATGAAGAAACAAGGATTCCAAAAAATGAGGAGAGGCTTGGGAACCTCCAGGACAACTTTAAATGTTCTAACATCTGAATCACAGGAGTGCCAGAAGGAGAAGAACAGCAGCAAGAAATTGAAAACTTATTTGAAAAAGTAACTAAGGAGAACTTCCCCAATCTGGCAGAAGAAATAGACCTCGAGGAAGTCCAGGAAGCTCAGAGAGTCCCCAAAAAGTTGGACCCAAAGAAGCACACACCAAGGCACATCATAATTACATTTCCCAAGATTAAAGATAAGGAGAGAATCTTAAAAACAGCAAGAGAAAAGGAGAGAGTTACCTACAAAGGAGTTCCCATAAGACTATCAGCAGATTTATCAAAAGAAACCTTGCAGACAAAAAGGGACTGGAAAAAAGTATTCCAAGTCATGAAAGGCAAGGATTACTCTACATCCCAGATTACTCTACTCAGCAAAGTTACCATTTAGAATGGAAGGGCAGACAAAGTGCTTCCCAGATAAGGTCAGGTTAAAGGAGTTCATCATCACCCAGCTCTCATTATATGAAATATTAAAGAAACTTATCTAAGAAAAAGATGATGATCAAAAATACAAACAGTAAACTGACAACAAACTTACAATTATCAACAACTGAACCTAAAAAAAACAAAAGCAAACAACTAGAACAGGAATAGATTCACAGAAATAAAGATCACATGGAGGGTTATCAGCAGGGACAGAGAGGGGAGAGAATGGAAGAAAAGCTACAGGGGAAAAGAAGCATGAATGGTAGGTACAAAATAGACAGGGGGAGGTCAAGAATAGTAAGGGAACTGGAGCAGTCAAAGAACTTATATGTATAACCCATGGACATGAACTAAGGTGGGGGAATGATCGTGGAAGGGTGGATACAGGATGGAGGGGAATAAAGGGGAGAAAAAAATGGGACAGCTGTAATAGCATAATCAGGAAAATGTATTAAAAATACATGTATAAAAATATAAATGTAGAAGGATAATAAAGTTATCCTTTATATAATAATTATATAAATATTAAGAGTGGGGAAGGATTTTCTAAACATACTAGCAAAGTCACACAAAAAGGAAAATACTTATAAGTATTAATACATAGAATTGTAATTTTGATAGTCAAAAATATAAGTCACAAAAGCAAAAAGTAACTTGGGACTATATTCAGAAAGCATAAGACAAAAGGTTAACAAAGTCATTTTAATACCATAAAGCCACGGGAAGATAGAACTGAGAACTTGATAAAACTCAAATACTTGCATCATTTTCCGAAGCCTTAAAAGCTATTTCCAAGTGACCCCTTCTCACTGTCCTCTGTGTCCACGGTGTAGATGATTGTGTCCCACATGGAGTCTTTCTTACTGATGCCATCTCTCATCTTTCTGGGCTGGGCTCAAACCATTCCAGGTTGGACCAGTTTTGTACCTCTCAGCATTTCCAAGATTCAGATCAAAGCCTCAGGGTGTTCTTCCCCTTGCCCCCCCAACTAAACTATTATTCACCCTGAAAGCCCATTCACCTGGAACTCATTCTTGAAATAATTTGAAAGCAGTTCCTTGGATCTCTTTTGAAATCTATAAACATTGCCGTTATTTATTCACAGCCAAGCCCGAGGGGACCTCAGGAGGGGTAAGCAGAGTTCCCCACCCAACCACTTTGTTGGAGCATCTAGGTAGCAAAATAATCGTTTCTATCTATTGTTCCACTAAGAAAAGGAAGTTCAGGGCTTGGGAGGAGGAATGCAGAGGAGGAGGGACATCAAACAATATTATTTCACTCTCAGTCAGGCCTGGAGTGTAAGTACTTCCCCACAGTTACTTTTGTTAGCCTACCCAAAACCCACATTCCTTAGAGGAAACTTGTAACCTGAGGAAAATTAGACCCATATAATCAGAAGTATCTAAAATCATGGAATTTCTGAGGAGGTTTTAATGGATCTTGGCCGAAGTTCAGCCATCACAGTTTATTGAAAAGTTAAAACAAGC